TAAGGTCTAGACCTTACTTTGTAAAGTGTCCTGAGATGACTTTTGTTGTGATTTGGCACTATACAAATAAAATTTGATTTGATTTGATTTGAATATCCGCATTTGCACATTTTCTCAGTAATCACGTACAAATAAAACTTGATTTGATTTGATTGGAATCACATACAAATGCACCAAACATACAGTATATACAGATGTTACGTGTTGCCTAAGAGGTTCAGTTTGGACTGAGTACATGGTGTGTCTTCTTGGTGGAAAATGAGCTGCTACAACATGCACAAAACCCTTATTAATTACATCTCATACACTATTAATTACACCTGTGCTTAACTGGTCATAATATCTGTTATGAAAAATGTATTTGGAACACACCTTATATTGATTAAACTACATGCAATGAGTGTCTTGGCATGCCATTTCTATCATATTGTGATTGTACATATGATATTACCTGATAAGTGTTGTCAAAACTGTCATACATAAACCTAGTGATGAGCGAGGTCTTCCCAACTGCACAAACACAAAAATAGAAAGTTTAAGATTTTATACTGTTCATCACAAGCCATATTGTACAAGACTAAAACTCCAATGTAGTATTAAATATCCGATCATATAAATTAACTTTTCATTATAGGAAATGAATCGGTATGACTCAATGACATCACATAGTGAGTACATTGCTGTTATCACTGATGGACTGCTGAGCCCACACGCTGAGCTGGCAATATGGGTGGAGTCACAAAATTTGGAAAGTAAAATGGTTCGACTTCACACATTTGTTTCGTGATCAGACACGGACATTGCCATATTACACAGTCATCTCAACAATACAATCACGCACAGATTATGTCAGTGTCAGACTCTGCAGGCTGACGTAAATGCTCGAGGAAAAGGCCGACGTGGCTCTGTAAGGTCCTGGCGCAAGAAGCTAAGTGCTAGTGAGTTGAAAAGAGCTACACTGACAAATAAGGATGAACCTAATTCCTTTGACTTTTATGCATCTTGTTTAGATGTAAAAATTCGCAACAAACAGTCACATTAGAATTTCAATTAGGCAGGGAACGCCAATATTAGCTAACGTTTCTGATAATGTATTTCAGCCTAGACTAGCACAGTTGACTGTAGCTTGCTAAAAGTAGTTAGCCAGCTACACTTAGCTATGGTTACGGTCGTGGGGTGATGCTGATGAATCATCGACTAATGGCCAGAGTAGCGACCATGGCCATTTTGCTTTAGTCTGGCAACAAACACTATGTAGGTAAATCACAAACGTTCATGATTTTTAACATTAATATTAGTCATCAAAAGAATTTATCGTTAAGACGAAGAGCAAGGTGTTTTGCTAGCTTAGTGATTTGCCGTTAGCTATGCAGTTACATCATCGCGAGTGTGAAATATACATACATATATCTATCATCATTTTATCATTTTACTCTCTGTTAAACACCTTTTTCATACTGACATATTAACATCTTGCTATGTATAATCACCAGCAGCTGATATCCGGTAGGCAACTTTACCTTGTTAGCTAGCTAGAAAAGCTAGTTAGCTTATTTTAGCCACTTCTAACAAATTCTTTAAATCCCACCATATTAACACTTGGTTCAAGTACACTGTCCCCATCTTACCACTCTGTTCACCCAAAAAGACGAGTTTGAACTTTCGTAGAGGGTTGCCAAACTCTCCGCCGCCGGTCGTGGTTGACATTTTGTCAAAAAATAAACAGCTAACTGGCTGACTTGGCTAAAGATGCGATGTCTAGACCGGAGAACAGCAAGTAGAGGATCTTGATCCTGGACTAGCCAGCGCTATTGTTTTCTTGAATGTAAAATAGCGCAACCAAGAGGTAACTGAGAAACGATAGAAACTGCAAATTTTAATGAATGCAAAGTTTTAATACATGTACATATTTTTATAGGGGTTTATTGCTACCCATCTTATATGTCAAAGTGACTTTTCATAGATTAAAGAACAGTGAACATTTGCATATAATAAGCCTGCTGGAATATT